CTGGTGAGCAGTAGCTTTGAGGTTGAAGAGGTCTGCTTGGGATGAGGCAGCAGCATGATGCTCACGGACACTTGCAGGAGGCTTCTCCTGAGCTTCATCAGCCACTCGTTGCATGGAGACAGCTGATCCAGGGCTGTCTGCAAGCACCACATCATCTGGCCACTGTCTCTTGTGCTTGTTTTGTGGAGGTTAATAGGTGAGGATGGGCGTCGGAGGATTAAAATGGTTGAGGATCTAAAACACCTTGTGGTTTGCAATAAAGACGACTCACGTAGCTTAAAAGCAGCTCAGAGTGCAATTAGGCTGCAGGAGTGATTTTCCATCTCCAAAGCTTTGTCTGTCATGGTCAAGAGAGATGCTGTGGTTGTGGGTTGTTACTGCTGAATGGCACAATAAAGCCAGGCTTTTTATTCCCTATGAATCAGTCCAGAGCTTTTGTTATACGTGAGGAATGGAAGCTGAGACAGCTAACTGCCTCGAATGTCTCATCTTAGGTAGTTACTGAGACTTTTTTTTTTTGACCTGCCTTGAAAACCAGGAGAAGAAACCAATTCCATTCACTTGATGTCTTTTATGAAGAATGAAAACAATATTAAGATTAAACAATCACCAAGGAAGCTGAACTGCTGTAATTTCATTAAACACTGGTTATGATCAAGCCATGAAATCAAGGTCACGATGGGTTTAGGACCTTGATTGAATCAGCAGCTCAACAATGAAGTTACGTTGGTTCAAACTATTTATCAAAGCATCTTAGTGCTACGAGCAATTGGATTTCTGCGTCGGGCTGAGACGAAGGTGAGTGTAACTCACGCTAAAGAGCGGAGCTGGAGCCCGTGGTTGGCGGCGAAAGGCTGCGCCTGACCTGGGCAAAGGGGCTTTTGGCACGGCTGTGCCAGTGAGCTGCAGTGATGGGGGCTCCAGGGGGGTGGAGGGAGCTCCCTGCTCCTCCCAACCTCTGAACAAACAGAGCTTTGCTGATCCGGGGGTGGTGGGCTGTGGGGGCTGAGCTCAGCTCCTGCCCAGGTGTGTCTTCTGCTTGTCCACCCCTACGCCGGAGTATTTTAAGCTTTAAATACCACAGTGCCAAATAACCTGGGGGAGGGGTTTATAAACTGTTCTAATTGAAACCTCGTTTTGATATTCCCATCAGGAGAAATAATTTTAGGTGTAGGTCAAGAAGCTCTCTCTGATAAGGAGTTTGCACAAACCAGGTTACAAGGGCTTATGTAAAAGTCAAATGGGGAAGAATTATGTAAATCTCAGCGGCTGCAGGTGACTCTCTCCAGGTTTTCTCGTGTTTTAAGCCGAGTTAAGCTGTGTGTCCAAACCCTGGCAGTACAGTCAGTGGGTGCAGGGAGGGGAATTGTGTGTGGAACACTTGGTGGGAGATGGATCAGGTCTGGAGCTGAGCTGTTCTGGTTGTGGGCAGCATCTCGGTGTCCTTCTTGCCATCCCAACTCAGGCAGCACTGACCTGAGCGTTCACGTAGCTCGGTGGCGTTACCTGCTCGTGACTCAGGACCTTGTCAGAGAGCTGATCCCTTCTGGTATTGTTTGCCTCCATTTAACTCTATAATCAGCTGTGAATTCACTTGCTGGTGATGTTGGCCTCTCATACCATGGGGCTGTAGCCCTGAGCATCTGGGGAGGCTTTGGGTGTTGGTGGGGCTTCAGCATCTCTCACTCTGACAGGGCACCAGACCTTCTGCTCACCAGACGTTGTGCTGCAAGAGCTTTATGCAAGAGGCAGCACGGAGAGGAGGAAGGTCCCAGCTCCTCCTGTCAGTGGCTGTGGCCAGGGAAAAAACCCGCCGGGGGTTGTTTGCCCCCTCCCCTGCCACACCGGCTGAGCTACAGGCTCCGGCACAGAGCGTGGTTTCCTCAAACCAGCTCTGCAAATCTGTGAGCAGCTGCTGCAAATATGCAAAAGGAAGTCTTCAACTTCTGTTCCTCTGGGCTGAGATGCCTCAGATGACTCTTCTGGAGA